CCACATACAATATCCAGCTCACTCGATTGGTATTCACCCAACTTCACAAATTGACGCCTCTGTGTCAAGATGTCAAAACGGAACTGTGACTGGTTAAACAGAGTACACAGTTGTTCACTAACTGGAAAAGTCCAGTAGTATGACGTATGATTATGGCAGTTTAGAATTATGAAAGGCATATCTTAACTTCTATATAAAATAAAATTTCAATATAAACTTCTTATCATGTCTTGTGTGTCACTGTGAGTGAGAGCAAAGAGTATGCAGTTGATTGATATCTGAAGCTTTGCTGGGGATATGCACTGTGGGATTTATTGTTTGTACATGACAAGTGAAATATGCATTGCAGTATTATTTATTGCACTGTTATTTTATTACCTCCACCAAGGAGGTTATGCTTTTACTGCCATTTATCATTTTTGTTTGTGTTTAGTTTGATATTCACTGAGGCAACCTTTTGTGTTATTTTTATATTTTTAAAATGGTACGATTGCTCCTTGTGTCACTCAGTAAAATAAGGTATTCAGGGTGTGAACTTGAACCTGATCTTACAATTGGTTGTTCTGCAAGTAAAGTTACCATGTCTGACACTCAACAGATTGTTAATCTTTAGGATTTTTACTTGACTATCATTTAATGCACATGGGAAATATGCTTATTTGTGTGCTTGCCAAAGTATAATGCCAAGATAAATACAGCCTTCAGGTTTTGTCTTCATGTCTCTTGGGTTCAATGAGAGCAGTCTGCTGGCTTAGTTTGGGAGACTGAAAACATGGAAACAGCTTTGTTGGGTACCAGATCATTAAACAGGCAATATTTAACATATTTAATTAGTGAGTTTTAAATGTTTTAAAGGTTTATGTCACTTTGGATAAAAACATCCAAATGAATGAACTATTTTAAAAAATAAAAACATTTTTATAGAAGGATGACACTGAAAACCAACCTTTTTTTCTGAATTCCAGCAGAAAACACCACAAATAAAAACATCATGAGGTAACAGTACTGTTGCAGAACAATGATGCTGGATCCTCAGAGACGTGACCCTGGAGCTCTACTGTTTACTTTGTTGAGCAAACACAGGCAATCAAGTAGCCCGCCTAAGGACGAGCTAAACACTATCACAAAACCTTCAAAGAGCCGTTAAACCCAAGCATGGCTGCTCAGAGTGTACAGTGGTTAATACTCAAGTTTTAAAATGAAAGCACAGCCCTGCTACTGATCCGTAGCCTAAATGACAATACTGTTTAGTCTGCTTGACTTGAAGGTCATTGAGACTTGAGAGAGTGAGGGGAAGCTATCTTGTGTACCTCCCTGTCTCATCAGAATTCAAACTGAAAAAGCCAGAGAGAGTCACACACACACACACACACACACATAGGGTATTCTTACCATCCAGAAGCTGCGATTGTTGGCATCTTCTGGGCTGTTTTCTGATGGCAGCATCGACATCCTGTTGTCTGAGAAAGTAAAGCATGTATGATTGGTTCAGTCTGTGGTATCGCTCCATTGTTTAATCTGCACCCTAACCCTGAATGTTTACATACAGTACTTTAGTGCTGTTTTTAACCGAGATGAAGACTCAAATGATAATAAATTTATTTATCTTTATGGAATAATGTAAAAGAGCAAAGCTATATTCAGGTTGATTATCTCTCAGCCACTACATTAGGGACAGTTAGCTTTTCAAAACTTTGTTCTAAACCACCACCAAAATATCACACAAATGGGAATCCGTGGACAACCACCTATCCACTAGGGGACTATGTCCTCTATTGCAGTGGTCAGACATACCCCACAGCCTTGTCAGATGAACCATCCATCACGGTACACATTTTCATTGGAATTGATTTTAAAATGGTAATTATTTTATTAATGAATCAAAAGTGTGGATGTTTAGGTTGGGTTGGGTAACTACTTTTTTGACAGGATTAGCAAACCAGGGGGTCTCCAGCTTTACCCCCTCAGAAAGTGACTGAGGCAAAACAAAGAAGGCTAACAGCTGCTCATGTCTCAAATTACTAGCTATATTTACTCAAATATGATATCAAATTCACTCAAAATTATCTCAAACCAGCTAAATAAGCAACTTATTTTGTGTAGCTACCAAATAAGCTATCAAGCTCCAACACATTTTGTACCAACAGTATCTCGACTTTAAGTCATCACATCAGTGTCAAACTCATACAATGTACCTCTTCTAAAAAGTTTTAGGGAAGTTGGTTATTGTAGTTTGGATGGATTTTCAACACCATCAGTGGAGTTAAATTGGTATAGGCTACTTTAAACCCCTTAATGTGCCATTCCCACAATTTGTGTCAAAAATCACACATTTTAGATTTTGTGTTATTCACACCCTGCAGTGATATCTTGAGGATATTAACCCATATTCACTGCAAGTAAACAGCCATAAACTCTGCTAGAAATCATAAAAAGAAGCTCCTTAGAACTTTGTGCCTGAGGATAATCAAGTTTTCTTCTATATCATACTAATGGATTGATAGTTGGCAGTATATTCAATGGTAAAAGGGCAACAGCAGCTGCTGATGGAAAATTTTAAGGAACTTAATATGCCAAAATGGAAACAAATAGAGGCTAAAACTGCTGACCTCAGCTGGAAGTTGGCAAAATTAGCGACATAACACAACTTCTGCAAAAAGATGACAACTTACAGTAAAACAAGGCTGTGTCTCACAAGAAGTAAGCAAGCATGAAGCATTCTCTCCCAACATTCCCAGCTGTGAAACATGAACTATCCTAAAATACACAGGGGCTAAGGGTCAATGATCCTATCATTTGCATTATTTTTCTTCAGATGTAAGTGGCCTTGACTGCTGTTTATTTGCCTAGAGAAACACACTGGCACTTGCTCATATGCACTTACACCAACAGCAGATAGAAACACTAATGGCAAGAGGCAACAGAAATACTTAAAATGTTTTGTTCTACTCAAAATTGAGTAATCTACATACAATATAATGTGATAGAATATTGTGTTTTTGAATGTTACTTTTTGGTAATTTGGTTCCATTTCCAAAAAAAAACTTTTCCAGTTACATATTTAATCACACAGCAGTTTTGCCTTCTGGTGTTTCAAACCCACGATGCACCCAAAGCCAAACTCCACCCAGCCTTCTTGTCTGCATCCAGCTATCCTCATGGCTTTGTAAGGCACAAAATTAGATTCAGGGATTTTTCTCCACATCCTGCTGTTCATGGGTCACCACGTGCTCCACATAGAGCATAATGTCATGCCTCTGCAGATATGAATCTTCCTCCACTTCTTTCTGTAATGTCTGTGCTGCTGAGGTCTTGTAGATCACACAACCCCAAGATCTGCCAGAGGCCATAAAATAATGAATCGCCTCCCTTTTAACCCTTGACCTCAACTTCCTGTCCCATTGCTGAATGGATTTCCTCTGGGTCTGAATGTGCCTGGGTTTGCAGCAGAACATAAAGATGGGGGAGTTCTGTTGTCTCCACATATCCTGCTCACTTTTAATGAAGCTTAAACCTATTTTTGCCTCTTATCTATGTTTTCCATGATATGCTGTATGATTTCATTCTCTTTATAAGCATTACACTTCAATCTGTGTGCAAGAGAAAGCATGCTGTACAACTCCATGTCTAATCGATTCAATTTGATGGTGCCATCAGCTTTTCAAATTTGATTTCAAAGCTTTTCTAATCAGTGTAAATGTTCTCTAAGATACTGGGACTGGCCCACTTTTTTGCGCTCTGTCATCTTTTCTGAGGCATATTTCCATGTTCTTACTTGTTGACTTTCAATGAACTACAAAAGTTGAAAGCAAGTAAAATATTAATCAGAATCAGAATCAGAATCAGCTTTATTGGCCAGGTGTGTTGGACACACGAGGAATTTGACTCTGGTACAGCAGCTCTCAATGTGTACGTACAAGCAAAGGAATGTGCATTAGGAAAAGAGATAAAAAATAAGAGTAAAGTACTTTCCATTGTCCTGTAAGTATAACAGAAAGTATGTGTAACTTACCACCTACATACGCAGATCTAATTCCACCATAGGTCCTCAAAACTTTTCATAATCTCCTGGCAGATCAGACATTTGTTCCCTCATTTTATCACAAGTCCTCTTGTGACCCAGTAACTTGCATTATCTCAGTCTTTCCAGCATCTAAAACTCAAACTTTACAATTGTAAAAGAAAGAAAGAAAGAAACTACAATAAAAGCTACTAAAACTGACACTCGTTTGAGTAATAAGGGTCCATCTGGAGCTTCTAACCGACCAAACTCTTTCACCCTGTATCCTGCACCCCCTCTGGCACACACACTCACTTCTCCCCCTGTCCCCATTTTATCTGTCACGTAACTCAACTCACACACACACAGTGCATAGAGGAAATACTGTATATAGTAAAATATGAACACATGGAACAGAAATAGAAGCCCAGTCACTCCAACAAATCTCGCTGAAATGCAACTACTCAGTCATGGCAGGCTTCACTTCCTTACCTCTCTGAATGTTGGGGCCCTCTCTGCTTCAACCCCCTTTTTCTTGTTTTGTTTGGCTGGTTACAGTGTTTTTGTTTTCTCCAGTCCAGTCTTTGTGTAGATTCTTTGGCTATTTTTCTCTTTGTGTTGTCGTCTTTACACACCTAGTCACCCTCTCCAGCTTTGATTTTTCCACTCGATCGAGACAGTGCTGCTCCTGCTCTTCTCCTTTCTTTGGCCTGCTGTTCATGTCAGATGAGTTGGCTTCTTTTTTTTTCCCTTCCCTGACACCCTCCCTCCCTCTTACCCTCCCTCTCTCTCTCTCTCTCTCTCTCTCTCTCTCTCTTTAAAACAGCTGCAGAAAACTTACTCTCTTGTTTTTGCATTTCACCATTTGTCAGAAATCTCTCTCTCTCTTTTTTGTTTCACCTCCCTTAGAATAGTGTAAACGAAGTGTCCCATGTTGTTTTTTGTGTGTTTATTTGTGTGTGTGTGAGCATGTCTAAGTGATCAGACCATAACTGATTCATCCAACCAGTCTCTTTGTGTGTATGTGTGCCTTTGTATTACTTACTTTATGGGGACCATGACCTGTTAACACACTCACATTGCGGGGACCCGGCCCACTGAATCAGTGAATTTTAGGGTGGGAACATGGTTTAAGGTTAGGGTCAGGGTTAGGGTTAGGCAAGTAGTGTTATGGTTAAGGTTAGGATAGGTCTACAGGGAATCAATGTAAGTTAATTTAAAGTCCCCACAAAGAATGAAAACACGGTATGTGTGTGTTAATAGGCCTAGTAAATATGCTTTACTATGTAACCACAAAGGGAACCTCCATCCCTCTGTGCTTGTCTTCAAGCCCCCTTTTTCTTCCCTCTGGACAGTTTGCTAGGCCTGCCTGGCCCTACAGCTGGAGGATACATCCGGTGTGTGTGTGTGTGTGTGTGTGTTAAAGACAGTGTTTCTTTGAAGTTACAGACCTCTTAAGAAGATTTGTTCATGTTGACATATCCCACTTTTGGAGCCATATTACTTTGTGTTGTGCTGAGCTTGTGAAACTTCTTCATGCCTGAACTTGCCATGTACTGTAAATAACTAGACAGCTGTTACAAGCTACAGTGCTTACACCCAACTGCAACCTGCTTTTTGGAAACACTAATCATAGAATAAAATCTGGACAAATCTAGACAGACTTCATAAAAACACTGTGAGATCTCTTGGTCAGTTTTTTTAAATAAAGAATCCTGAATGTTTTAGTAAGACTTTTTTACTTTGTAAAAAAATTTTTCCCAGCACAAAGTTACAGACAATCAAAAGAAACCCTGAATAAATGAGTGGTCTCTTCCAGGATGACAGTGCCCAAGGGGTCGCCAAGTATGGAAATGGCCTTCACAGTCAACAGATCTTAACCCAGCTGAACACCTATGGGAGATTTTGGAGCAACATGTTAGATGACGTCTCCACCACCATCATCTAAACACCAAATGAAGGAATATCTTTTGAAACAGTGGTGTTTACCCCTCCATTAAAGTCCAGAGACTTGTAGAATCAATGCAAAGGTGCACTAAACCGCACTGTGGCTCTTGGTGGTCCAACACCTTACTGAGACACTTTATATGGTTTTTCCTTTCATTTGTAACTGTCTGCAGTTTGTTGTGATTATATAAAATAATGATTTACTTTAAATCTGCCCATCATTTATATAATAAAATTACAAAAGTGTAAAATCCATTCTACAAAAATGAGCCTACACTTAAAAATTGTGCTGATTGCATCTTCGCCTTGCATTTTTCATGGGTGGGATTAAAAGGAAAAGACGAAAGTGAGAAAATGTGGATGCAATAAAGGGAATTGGGATTCATCCTGGGAACACTAGGGAAGAGGTGGAAAGGTAAACAGGGGAAGTCTAGTAAACTCCATGGGAGAGAGGCAAGTAGGCAGGAGTTTGTCAATGGGCCTAGCAGTGTGTCGCCTGTTCCAATGTCCAACGTGGATTTTACTAGAACCTGACAGGGAATAAATTCAGATTTCCTTAATTGCATCCACACAAATGCTAGTAGAGAGGAATTAAGGAAACATGTTGTAGACGTGAGATGTCCTTGTCTTGTATCCTTCACCAGAACCATCCAAATCAGCAGTTTTCCCATAAGGGGGTAATTTATTAGTCTCACTTTGCAGGATGAATTGAAATTGATTCTCAGTGCTAAGGAATAGAATTTGATAGAAGCTGTTCTGAAATTTCTCCATAACACCGGACTCCACACAAGAATTTGGCAATGGGCTGAAATGAGCAGCAGAGGGCAACAACACGAGCAATATACCTTAGCTGCGTCTAATGCGAAGAAGAAGACGCGAAAGGTGAAACGAAGAAGAAGAATTGACTTATAAATCCGTGGAAACAGCGCTAGCATCGTCCATTCGGTTGTTGTTTGTCTGCTATCGGTACGGACGATGGTAAGCTAATATCGAGAGTTTCACTAGTGCAGTTTTTGTTATTGATTAGCAATGTTTACATTTGTGAAGAAGCATTATCGAGTAAGCCATAGGCTGTATGATGCATTAGCCGCCACAATGCGATGACCTTTCAGATCTGTAAATAGTAATGTAACGTTCACATCCACTGCTGAGAATTGTTTTATACGCCGAATAACGTCGTACGTTACACCTTTATTCAGTTTGGTAAACAGTAACTAACAGCTGAGCCGTCTGTAAAAGCTGGATGGTTTGAGAATATTGGACGTTTTGGGAATAAATCGCGTGCTTAACACAATGACACCGTGGTTACGACTCGAAGCTTGTGGTAGGTGATTATTTGGCGTTGAACCCTGCAATATTAAACTGATACTTAAAAAAAATCAGAATTTGGTTGTTACCAGTTTCTGGTGTTTGTCCATGCATATATTTCCAGTTGGTGATATCCTGGTTGTCCGTGAGGCTCCACGTGGCAAACCTGTTAGCACGGTGGCTAACGGTGTGCTGAACCAAGTCAGAAGATAAAAAGTTATAATAACATACAGAATCACTGCGATTTACAACACAAAACAATGACTGAAACGTATGGTGTAATTAGACCTGGGATTTTGGCTGATCACAAAATTAATGCTAAGTTATTTTGATTAAGACATTTGGTGACAAAGTATTTGATGTCATCAAATTTGTAACAATCATGGTCTATGACTAAAAACTCTAAATACAGCATGTCGGTCACAGATGTGAGAGGGTGTCAGACCGTTGGTCTTATGTCTTTTCGAGTCTTGTAGGCATATAATGTAAGGCCATCTTAAGACAGTAGGTGGATCTTGGTCCTCCCCTGATGACTTGCACTGGGCTCTGAGTCAGTATGGAGACAACGTGCATCTTTGGCCCTGACAAGCCAGAGTTTCTGAGGAGGAAACTGATGTCCGTTAGAGGCTATTATGGTTGTGACAACATGGTAACATGATTTTTGTCTTTTCAGGTCAATCACCACTACTACACTGCACTGGGCTTGGGTCAAAGGTATGTAAAAAGGCCAAGCGTAGTCATAACTACATGGTAACGGTCTATGCAGACACTATTAAAATAAGTCTTGGTGAAGAAAAGTGTAGTTACTAACTACGACCACCAGGGGCAACAGGCGGTCATGCTAAATTTATGATAAACCTCTTGAGTTAGAACCACCAGGTGGATTTATTGTTGTGGCTGATTGGTGTATATTAAACACAGTATCTAAAACTAAGTTATACGTGTGTGTTCAGGAACATTGACTCATGCAAGTTAATGAGGATTGTGCAGGGTACATGGGCCTAAAGAGTAAAGGTGTTGAGGTTTGTTTAGGCATACTTAAATTTATTTTTAACCATCAACAGTAGTAGTCGTGTACTGTCGCTTTACATCGGAGTGGTATGTTTTATGAAAATATAAATCGAACACTTTAGCATCTTAACACCAAGGATCTATTGTGCACTTTATAAAAGCTTGATTCTTGAACAAAGCAGTTTTTTGCTGCTTAATGCACTGCATAGAAATATTGCAAATGCATTTAAATGAGTGCATTTTTCTTTAGAATATGGAAAATGCATTTGATGCAGATTTAAAAAAAGTTGTCAAACTTCAACTGTTTTCCAATCATGAGACCAGTTATGAACTCTGCTGTTTGAAACTGGATGCATTCATGCAGCTAAATGCACCAGTATATCTTGTGTTTTGGAATTTGAATCTGTTTGCCCCTTTGCATTATGCAAACTATTTAAAATGTTAAACAATTAAAATAAACCACATTTAGTTTAAAAATAACTGTGCCTCTACAAGTAAATGCAAGTAGATTGGTTGGTGTGGGTTTAAGCAGTACCTCTCCACTGATGAATTGCACTGGGCTCTGAGTTTGTGTGAAGACCACTGTGCATCTTTGGCCCTGACAAGCCAGAGTTTGAGGAGAAGACAAACTGACAGTCCAAGGTGTGAGGGGTATAACAACACTAACACTGATTTGTTTTCTCAGGTCTTTAAGAAGACCATCTGCTCAGACTGGAATTGAATTGGGTTTGTCATAATTTACATCTCTTGGTCTTTAAAAGCAGATGCTGAATGGTTGTGAATTGTTGACCTGACTGCTGTTTTCCTGTCTTCTCAGGTACTGGACCGCTCACAGGCATCGTGCTCTTTAAAGATATGTTGTAGAGTAATTTTTTGTTAGTAATATTTACTGTATATATTCTATGCTCAAATAAAACTATACAGGCCAACTTTTTGCTTCAATTTTCTGAAAAATATACTGGATTATGAGATGTACACGACAGATGGTTTACTAATTCATGAGCCACTCTGACCTTTAATGATATGAGGCATCATTTCTAAATGTGCTGACCGACTACTGAAATATGCCAACTTTTGATCAAGCATAAATCAAATGACAAAAGCTGATATCATTAACAAAAGGCACATTTCACATTGAACTTTCAGGTTTTGCCATGTGATATAAGAAACACTATAGCCTAAACATTAGTGTACAGGGTATTGATACAGCACTTAAGGTACTGATACCAAAACATTTAAGCATAAAGTAGAAAGGATCTGAATGCACTTGAGTTTTGTGATTTTTAATAACTTTGCAATAAATTTTAAAATCAAGTTATCACTTTGATTTTGGCTTCTTCTGGTAACGTAGTTGTGAGAACAATCTGTATACTGTAGGTCCCGCAAACAACTTGTTGCCCCCACCCCATTACCTACTGGTAGGAAGAAGGTATTTAATTGGTACCTTTATATTCACTGTACTTTGTGCAGGCTATAATCTGAAACTTTAGCCCTAGGAAAGTGTTCCCGTAGAGTATTATGCACATATTACAAGTTTAATTTATACATGGAACCTAATCATGTACAGTAGGTTTGGCCATTTTCCTATTCAATTGAATGTGTCCCCAAACTTTTGTTTAGAAGTGCATGTTTGTATAAAATATGAAGTCCACTTTATAATCCATTTGAGCTCATGTGCTAGTATTAAACTGTACATACCCAAAAACCATCATCTTGCCCAACAATGTAAAGTTACCATCAAGTGATAAAAATATAACTTTTTATATAACTTTATTATAATTCTAATTCTCTTAAAACATTTGAAATTCATATAGGTTTATATGAATATGTATATGCATATCACATATACATATTCTGTAAGTTAGCTTTCATCAGTTCATAATTTTCATTTCTTAAACGATCTCTTAAAGGAAAAGTGCTTTCTATAGAGTCGGACCGATTCCCTCAGATCTGAACTTGTTCTCCTGACAGCAATGATGAGCCATCACTCTTGATCATGACTAAATTCAAAGGGAAAAAAAAATGGTCACCAGTCACTTAAATCAGTGAGATGTTTTCAGAATTCATCGGCCCTATTTACAAGCGCAAACTAAGAGACTTGATAGAAAACAAGTAGAAACCAGTGGGCTGAGTTTGGACAGGAAGCCACATTCTGCTTGTTGACCCATTTCAAAACGACCCCTTTTGGCTGATGAATAACTTCAAAACCTTTAAAGGGAAATATGAAAAGTCACAGTTACTAATGGAAATAGTCATTGCTGGTAATTAACAATGAGCTGTAAGCATACTGGCACGTCGGCGACTGTGGAAAGTGCTTTGTACAGACAAGAAGTTGCAAACAATTAGCGAAAACACGAGCTCTTAATACTGTCAGGTTGGTCAGCAGTGGAAGGGGGCAGATGTAGAGAATGGGTTAAACTGTATAGAAAGCAGTACAGTTAAATACATTGTACCTTCTCATGTTAAACATTTGGAAGACAGAGATTCTTTAGAACTTTTGAGACTTTTTTTTTTTTTACATCAACCATAATTAAATGACCATTATTTTCATCGTCCTTATTGCTATTTCCCTTGCATTCTAATATAATCTCTCCTTGACCATTAACACAAATTACAGAAACGATTCCCCAGTTTGCTCATTCACATTTTGTACATGTGCACTTTGAGCATTTAAAACTTCCCATCAACGCCTCGATGTAAAAATGCACACAATATTTATTCAAGGACTCAAAAGCAGCAGGAGAGGTGAGGTGTTGTTCAAGGTAGAGAGGTCATGAGAGAGCCCTTATATTTAATATCAGCAACAGTGAGAAGGAGCAGGACTTGGCTCATAATGCAACATAAGTGTGCCATGACAGCTGATGAGAAATAAGATTGCAGAAGAATATGGCACAAAGTCAGAAAAAGAATTTTTTTTTATGTGATCAATAAAGAGGAGGGTGGCTGCAATCCCAAATTGAAGCACAATTTAGTGTTTAAATACACTTCTGTGTAGTGTTGCCTTCCCCAGAATAACAATTGGTACATTACTGAAACAGTTTCTAAGTGGCAACTAACTTTTAAAAGTGTTGGGGGGGAATCTTAGGCCTTAAAGGTCAACATGTAAGTTAGATCAAAGCTTCGGTCTTGCCGAAAAACATTGAGAAAGTAAAAGGAGTCATTCAAGATGTGCTTCATATTAAGTTGCAATGCTTCTCATCACATTAAAGCCATGTTAAGGGTACAGTGCACCAAATAATATACATCTTTCAAAAATACATAACCAACATGATTATCTTCACTACATAGTCAGAAAATAAACGCCATTTCAGGCTCCAAAGGCAGAAACCAGCAGCTCTCTAAAGCTATAATAACAGTAAGGACGATGATTGTAATGATAAATAGTAACAATAAATCTCTTCATATCAATATCAGTGTTCCCATTTAAAGTTTAAAAACTGTAAGAACAATCCGTATTAAAACTCGATATAAGCGTTACTCTCAGGTCCCCTCGGTCGGGTGGCTGCTTGTTTCCTCTTGAAGTTAGTAGAGAGAGATTTTTTTGGGGGGGTTCTCCTGGAAGGAGAAGGGGGGATTGGATGGGAAAGCAAGAAAGTGGCAGTTTATTTCTCTTCCCTTCCCCTCTCCTTTCCAGTCTCCCTCGGACAGAAGGTCTGAAAGGGTGTACAACGGTTGCCTCAACGCTGAGGAAGTCTTCCTCAGTAAATAAAATCCTCTCTTCACATAGTCATGTTTCCTGTCTAAACAACTGAAAACACAGTCTGTCCCTTTTTATATAAACACATCTTGGATTCAAACATACTGTATATCGTGTCCATATATAAGGTGTCCCATAAACTACCACAAACACAGGGAAGTGTTTGTGTGCATGTGTGTCTACATGTTGGTGAATGCATGCAGGCATGTATAGTAGTAACTCAGGTGACTGTGTGGGCGTATCAGTGTTTTTCACTTTTTCTTTTTATGTTGTTGGTCTGGGCACTTATTTTTGCTACAAATTGTGATACAGTGACCAGTCTGTATATATGCCATTATAAGACTTAAGATGATAAAGAGCTATAGAGAAACAAATAGGGTCCTGATCACAAGACCTGCAGTGAGGACAGAGCCCTACCAATGGTGAGGTAAAAGCAGTCCAAACACACAGCAGCCTTAACTATCTGCACCTCTGTTACCTGTAAAAGATGTGGAAGCTGTCACAACGCCCTGCTCTGCGTCATCCTAAAGTTCACCATAAAGAAAAAAGCCTCATTCCTATAGACATTCATCTCGATTTAGCCTGAAATATTCGTCATCTATGATTTCTAGACACATTTTTAAAACTAGCATCCACTCACATGGGGGGGGGGTCATCACTGATTGCACTCAAAATATTCTTGGTGGGTTCCACTTTTAAACCTGAACAGATTTCACCAGCCAGCTGAAGGGTAACAAAACTGCTCAGCAAGATGAAAGACAGCTTTATTATCTCCAGCTTGCCAACAACACAGCCTGCTCAAAAACAACAAAGAAAATGTAACTGGCTTTTGATTGTTCTTCTCAAGTATTTGGTTCAGTTTCAGCACGGTTTTCATTTCACTACTATCAGCTGCAGTCATAGTGTCTTCATATGCATTTGGATGGGAGACGGTTGGTTGGTTGGTGTGACTGTGCGTGCGTGTGGGGCCTTTACTTGTGTAAATGAGCCTGCCACAACTGGGAAGCGCCAGCCGGTGTCTATATGGATCGTCAGCCCTTTTTTCCATCCCTGTATTTCCATCTTCCTTTGGGAGTTGACTCTCTCTTTTTGTCTCTCTCTGTGTGAAACCCATTTCCCCCCTTATTTGTTGTGTGAATCCATAGATAACAGCAGTCTTCCTCCCTCATTGAGTCCAACCCCTCCATCTTTCTGTCTGTGCATTTGCAACCTCAGCTCCGACTCCCGTCGTCCCTCATCCTCTCAGTCTGTCCATCCCGAGGCGAGAGAACAGAAATGGGAAATGGGCTACTGGACAGCCTGGGGACAGAAGAACGAACATAGTAATGTTTAGTGTTAGTTAGGTGATAATGAATGGTGTTGGTTGTGTTCTAGCATAATGAGTTGTTACAATATGTGTAACTCGTGTTTTGGTTTTTAAATGGAGAGTTATTTGTTCATTAGTTAACTAGGGTGGCTCTGCAGTGTACTCAGTACACGACTGACTGCATTGGGAAAACATGGCTGCTGAGAGCTGGTTCCAAGTTGGTGAAATATATGGATTTTTTTTTAATCTCCAGAGCCAAATCCTTCATTCACATAATCTGGTTTAACCTCTTTGGCCTCCGTCTAATGCTACAGGTGAAGAAAAAGTAAAGCCAGATGATGTAGTCAAATATGTGATAACTCAGCACTGCTGCTGTTAAGGGACTGAACGACAAGTGTCTAGCTTTTTTCAGTCTGCAAACCATTTACCTTGACACCGCTCTGGTGCCATTATTGTCCAATCATCAGAACTTTGCCTGCTACTATCCTGGGGGTGGCTGTGGCTTACGAGGTAGGGCAGTCGTCTTCTAACCAGCAAGTTGGTGGTTATTCTACTTGTGTTACAGATTAAATTATAAGCAGCCAGGTTGCCAGCAAACATTCCTGTATGGGACCACTGTGGGAAGGATTGGGTTTACTGTGAGTAAATCCACACTAATCCCACATGGGGCCACTGTGGGGTGGCCCATACCGGGCCCACAGTAGTTTTGCCCTTTGGGGTCCCCAAGTGGATTTTCTGCGAGATGTCATTGCTGATCACTTTGAGAAGAGCTAATTGAGCACTGTGGCTGGAAGAGTCCTGATTCAAATTTATCATGTAGCTGAGGTGAGGCCTCAGTACACACGTGATGTTCATCACTGTTTCCTCATGAAGTTCACATTATCCCCATTTCAATACAATACTGTCACAAATAACTGATCAGCTCTGAACCTCTGAACAACTCAGTTAAATTGGACAATTTGAACTGTTTTTTTTTTTTTTTGTTGTCAGTTTTCATACAGCCCGTTTGCTGAATGATGACCATAGAAGCAAGTCTTTCAAGTGGTGGGTCTTTAACAGTAGTTATTGTTCAATTTCATGGCTATGTTTTTCTATTGTGTGGAAGCTGATTCAGCAGCATCCACATTATGTTATCCTGTTTTTTATATTTTCTGATTTCTTCCGTACATTTTTGGCACTTAACTCCAGCATACTTTCAACTAGATAAATATCAAATATCAAAATGTTCTGCCTTTTAAGGACTTGTGCTTGCATTTTAAATTTTTGTAACATTTATACTTTTAATGTATTCAGCATTTTTCAATATTTTTTTTTATAATGGAAGTCAATGGGAGACTCAAATCTTTCTCCTCTTTGAGCCTAAATAGCTCTGGCATACTTTCAGCTAGAAACACCTTTTAAACTTTAACTCGGGACAAGTTCAGCTATTCAGCTTGTAAACAGCTCTTTGATATCTTTTACAGTTTTTACATTATGGCAGTTTACATTTTAATGGTGATTCCTGTTGAGCTAATTGCTTAAAACAGAAACTTTAAAATGGTACCACACAGTCACAGCAATACAGTGTTACACAGTAACACTCCCACCTTACCTCTTCTCTATCTTCCCTCCCCTGTGTATCTCCCCTCCCACAATCTACCATGCCTTGACAGAGAATTGAACCCAACCTGCCGAACCAAAGTCAGTAGCATTAACCACTAAGCTATCCAGCTACTGGATAGATATACATTTACATTTTATACATGCTATTGGTTAACGCAGCTTAGCAAGGGTTAAGGGGTGAGGCACACATCTGAATTCCATAAAACAGCAACATTAAAATTAACATGGTACCACACAAACAGTCACACAGTAACACACACACACAAAATAAACACCCAAACATTCACAATACAAAGCAATACAGCGTCACACAGTGACACACACAGGTTTATCTGCCTTTAAAATATATCTGTCAGATGTCAGTAAAAATGAGTCTTTAGAACTATAAGCCATTTAATTTCTACCTCTCACTTTGGGATTAAGCCTTCCACTGTTTTAGGAATGCTCTCAAGCTCTCACCTTCTTCAGATAATGAAGTTAAATTCCCAACTTTAGTTTTTCATTTCATCTTCCATAATTATTCAGCATTGCATCTCAGCCTTCAGCTGTTTCAACAAAAAACTTCAGCCATTGCATCGCAGCCTTCAGCTGTTTCAGCAATGGATTTCAGCATTTTCAGGGCAATTCTTCAGCAATCGGCATCCACACGCATTTTCATTAGGAAATGCATTTGTCTAGTTGCATTTAAATATACACTTGTATTGTATCCTGCACAATCCTTGTGGGTCTTAAGGTAACATAAAACAAGCTGAAAACCTCAGTGGTGGAAGTTTTCACTTTGTTGTGTTGATATAAAAGTGTATTTATAGTATGTTGTGTAAAGTACAAACTGCAATCACTGAAAGTTGAGGGAACAGGGGCAGAGGGTTTGAAAGTTTTACATTGAACAGGTCAGTGACATTATTTTAGCTCAGCGTTAAGTTCCTCTTGAATATCATTCTTTTACAGCAACTTCTTGCCAGAGAACACATTGTTCGAGCTCAACTCGAGAGGACTCACTGAGCAGCACAACAAAAACAAAAAATATAGAGCCGGGCTTAACGTTTAATTTCATACATACTGTATATAAAGTCAGTACCTCTTGCTGCTTTGACTGATTTATACACTGCCTCAGGAGAGCATACCTAAGACATGTTGCAGGGGTAAAAAAATGAAACAAATGACCACACACTGAAAGCTTACAAGATGTATTTAGAATGTGTAACAAATGTTTTGACCCACCGGTCTTCTTCAGGGCAAGTAAGCTGCAGGGGTAGGAAAGTCAGGCAAGGCTGTAGAATGGACACTGCTCCGCTTGTTTGTGGTAACGTTAACTTCAGTGCCTCACTTGGGTAGCAAGATTGCAGGTGTGTCCTCAGATGTGTTATTGTACTGGCATCTGCTTTTTTCAGTCTGCAAACCATTTACCTTGACACCGCTCTGGTGCCATTATTGTCCAATCATCAGAACTTTGCCTGCTACTATCCTGCATTTTGTCCTTGCAAACATAATGTTACTAGCTTACCTTACTGAGAGGCCAACAGGACATGTAACTGGTCAAACAAAGTGAATTTTAAGAATGTCCTCTGTTGGACCACAAGGTAAATTACATCAAATGGCTTGTTGGGCTTATTGACACAGCATATTGTTGGATTTTGTCATTACCGTTTGAATGAATGTTAGGAATTAAAATAAAAAGTGACAGTCCTACTGTAGGGGCATGTGTGATCACTGGGTCAGCCCCTTCTGGGCTGTGCAGGAGTCATATCAATGGACATAAAGCTCAAGGTCCTGGTGATAGCCTGGCCAGTAGAAACGGGACTGCAGCCAATGCAGTGTCTTGACAATCCCAAAGTGTCCCGCCCTCACTGAGCCACGGATCACCCGGAGCAATTCGAGCTGGAGTTGACAAGGCAACAGCATGGCGCAAGTGCTGGCCAGAGCTGCATGAAGGCAGTGGTGCATTCTTTCCCCCAACTGTAACATAGGGCTTTTCTGTGTCAGCTGGTGTAGTGGGCTGGCAATGGAGGTGAAGCCCTGGATAAATCACTGGTAGTAAGAGGCCAGGTCCAGGAAGCTCTGCAGCTCCCTGATAGTGCTAGGGACAGGCTGCATTCTTACCGTGGCTACCTTGGCTGGGTTGTTAGACACCCCTGCTGCACTGATGACGTGGCCCAGAAAAGAGGTCTCTCTCTGGAGCAGGCAGCACCTCTTGGGGTTCAGGCACAGGCCAGCTTGGTGGATAACTTAAACAACATCTCTCAGGTTGGCCAGCACCCTGTTCATCAGGTGCACGAACATGGCTGGGGCTTTGCAGAGGCAGAAAGGCCTTGAACTGCCACAGCCCTTAACTGATGGTGAAAGAGGTACAGAAAGAGGTACAGGGCCAGGCCTCCGGTGTGAGTTCCACTTGCTAGTAGCTGCTGTGTACATCGAGGGCCCTGAACCAGCAGGATCCAGTGATGTAGTCCAGGGTGTCATTGATACGTGGCAGAGGATAGAAGACTTTGCGGGTGACCTCGTTGAGCTGGTGGTAGTCGATGCAGAACCTCCTGGCCATGGGCTGCTGGTGGGCTTGATCATTCCAGCTGCTGCCATCTTTCTGATTTTGTGCTCCACGGCAGCTTGCTTAGCAGGGGACAGGCGCTGCAGACAGAGGCAGATGGGGCATGTGTCACCGGTGTCAATGTCATGCTGCACCAGGCCAGTGTGCATACAGTTCCCATCTCCGGCCAAAAAGATGTCCACAAACAACTCCAGCAGCTCCATCAGCTGTTGTCTCTGGCCCACCTTCAAGCCCTTGCAGCTCTTCTCGAACAGGTCATCGACGGCCTGCCTGGTCTCAGTGGACACTTCTCTGGCTGGTGACAGTGTGGCTGGGG